CTCTGCAACCATCGACACGATCATTGACGTCTTCGTCGTTCTCGTCGTCATATTCTTTGTCTCTCAAATCCGACTCCGAATCGTAACGCATAGATCGTGATGGTCCGAGCGGCATGGCGTTATGAAATCAACGGCACCAGAAGAAACATTATAACACGGCGAGCATTTCGACAAAAAAAATGAAAAGAAGAAAGAGAGCGATAAGCGCAGATCGAATCTTCCTCTCTGTTCGGCTTCGGGTGATTTTCTCCGCAGCCCTTCGTCCCGGATAGATCATTCGGAGATCATTTTCACTCGCCGTCGATAACGTGTCTCTATCGGGAATGTGAAGGGTCGCAGGGGAGATATTTCCGAAGACTGCCCGATATTTCTCCGAAGCGCGATGACGAACGAGTTCTGCGGCGAGCGCCGAACTTCAGTCAGAAATTCCTCTCGAATTTCTGTCGGCGCTCCGATACCTCACCCATACACCGGAATGCAACCGATGCTCCCGTGTTCGGGGGAGCATCCGGATGATTTCTAGAAGTCTGAGTCGAAGTAATCTCGCTCGACTGATCCGTGGAATCGGAACAGCCGGGCCGGAGGTAGCTTCTAATAATTCATTTGATTCGGAGAGATTATCCATTCTTTGAAATTCTATACAAACACTTCATCTGGGCCTCCGACGTGGGCTCCATTCCCGATTTCGTCGGTGGGATTAGGTCGATGATTCCGCTAGCTTTTCCATGTCGCACGTCTCTCCTCTGACGGGCCGTGCGTGCGATAATAAAGACGTACCGCACGCCAACAGCGAAACGTCACGGCTGAAGCCCCGACGGAATACCATTGTTTGGAGGCTCCCGAATCGCTCCGGAAGGTCTGTTTACATTCCGCGACTTCGAGTCGAGTCGGACTGACGGACGCTAAGTCGACAATATAGAAATAGCTCGTGTACGTATTCCTCATTCGGAGCGAGGAAGACTCCGCCGTCTGCTCTCGTTATGACAGCGAACCCGAAGCTGCTCTCGCCGACCGGTATCGACGACGACGAGTCAATCCAGAGGTATTTCTCCTTCGATTATCTCCCAACGGACTTCGATTATCTCCCTCTGGTTTGCCGTATCGGTCTGACAGAGCCCGGCGACCTCACACTGACAGCTCGCTGAGAGTCCGGGGATCGGTATCGAAACCAGACAGTCGCATCCGTTTCCAAGACTCACCGAATAGGAACTCCAGTGTTGACGTCGATGGTGTTCACAGACTTCAGCGTTTCACCGTCGAGTTTTCACTAAACTCATTCACTTTGCTTTTATCCAAGAGGTAGGCTGACCATCCAAACTGTTGTCGGGCGCACTCACATGACTACTTGTGCCTTTTACTTTCGCGGTAGTGAAGCTCTATTCATGCGCTAGTCCGCTTGTTGCTGTCGTCGTCGCCACCGCTACACCACTCGGTCGGTTCGTCCAGCGCGATCTGGCGCCGCGCCGGCGCTCAATTCGCGTTCCTACACCAAGAGGGCGCTGCGCAACGGAGAGGGCAACGGCAGCAGGCATCGATGATGGCGGGGTGAGGCGATCATGTGGACGATGGCAAACTCGGATTTCCGAACAATTCTAAAATTTACTCAATCGACAGCAAAGTGACACGCGAACACGAAACGACGTTCCAGAAGCCGCTATCCAAATAGACGCAGCGATTCGGTGTGGCGTTCCGTAGGGATGGATTTTCGGTCAGGGACTCGATTTTCTCGGTGTGAGGCGCGAAACACGCGTCCAACGAATGCGGAACCGGCTCCGATTCGACGAGAACGGCGCCTGCCAAACCTGCCGAACCACCCCCGGACCAGACTTTCGGACGTCTGATAGCACCTGGGGTTCGACAACAGGTTGAGGGTGGTGTGTGTTTTGTCTGATTGTGAGTCTCATGAGAGAGTCTCCCGAGGCGACAGCATTGTGTTCGGGAGCAGCTGGGGCAACGCTGAGAAGCCATAGCTAGAGAAGTCGAGGCAGACTCGAATCGAACTCCGCGGAAGAAGTCTCGCCTCTACTGCCGTCTGAGTAAAGCGCCGTCGTCGGTACCGTCGATTATATCGCAGGCCAGCACCGAGCGCCTAGATTCCACGGGACGTAGAGAGTGGAGCGCCGAATCGACGCCTGTCAGGAATTTACAATCCGTACACTAAACTTCGCATATATGTTTTATGGTTGTCGCACTTCACGCCAGCGTCGAATGTTCACTGGGAGACACTGCCGAGAAAAAGTATGTATTCTGGGGCGGCGTGACTTCCGACTCGAGCGGTGTGCGTGACACGGCAGAAAGGGCTCTCTGCTGTATCCCGGCCCTGGAGAAGGAGCACCGGAAAACCTTAACATTCAGTGTTGCGTCATGGGATTCTCAGCTGATCTCACGATTCGTTCGGAGATCTTCCCCGGTGCGATCAGGACGGCGCGGAGTCCATGTTCGGGGTTTTCTCCCCTTCCAGCTCCGTATACGATCCAGAAACTCATCCGATGATTGCTCACCGCAACCCATTCGCAGCCCCGGTCCAGCAGCCGCGCGACCCGTTAGCCCCAGTTCGTCAAAGACAGGTGTTAGGATGACATCTGGCGAACTCGGTCTGAAGCGACTCCGCTCGTACATATTCGCCACGATCGAAACCTCCATGCATGGTGACGGTGATAGCGGCACTTCCTACGTCAACTGCTGTCGGGCTGATAATATTCTCAGAGAGCGGGATTTGAAGAAACGCTCATTCGTGGTTTCTGTGCAAGCTCAGGGATTGCTTCTAGTGCGGACGCAAGGCCCATTGGACGTTTGAAAAGCCGGGAGGATACTTCTTTCGACCCGGCTCAGGAGGAATCCCAAGGAACAGTGGGGATTCGGATGCCCGAAAGAAGTCCGAAGTGGGAGGAAGCTTCGGAACGGACTTCCTTCTTGATAGTCTAGGCCCGAGGTCTCGGAATGGATCCTTCCCGCTGCAGGTCGATTTCGTATAGGAAAGCATTCATTGGAGCAGTCCCTGTCAGATATGTGATATATCCGGCGCGGCTTCCGAATGTAATATGATTCTAGACTCTGATTCCTCTCTAGATCTCCGATTCCCTATGGGCGAAGACAGTCCCCCCGGCATGCCCGATCGAGTGCATATCGGCAGTGGCGTAACGTGGCGAACTGGCGCCCGGGGCGGATCTCGAGAATGGCGCCTCCTCAAGAATTCCATCCCCGGATTCTATTCCTCACGCGGAATCCTTGTGGGAACGTGCGTTTCGCAGCTTACCACCGCCGAAAATTTCGGGCCTCCAGAATGAGTTCAAATTCGAATTCCATGGATCGAGCTGAATCTTCTTGGAATTTCCCGAATTTTCCTTGGTTGTCACCTGTGAGAATGGCGCTCCTGCAATCGGTCGGAGAAATGGTGCCCGGGGCGGTCCGCCCCCCGAGTCACACCGCAGCATATCGGAGAAGCAGTACCGGACTCAGCTCCGCACCGCGACATTTACGTTCCCTCATCGGCGTACAAGAGCTCGGGAAGAACAAATTCCTGGGCAGCGTCGAGCGGCAATCCCCGACTTCGCTAAAATACAGAACTTTCTCAACAAAGCCAGGGGCCCTGCACGCATTTAGCGATCAGCGCTCTTATCGTATACCTCGTCGTGGCTGGCGCCGCGGACGGCAACTTAGGTCGACGGGTTAGCTAACCAGAGAGGAGCGAAGTCAAAGTAGGCGAAGAGCGGAAGCGGCTGTCGGAACGATGATGATGGTGCTTTCATTCTCTCGTTGATCAGCGAAAATAAAACAAGAGATCTCATGAAGGCAGTATGAGAATCTTCGTTCTATGCACATGATCTCGCTCAAGGCCAGTTGCGCATAGCTCGCTCAACGAGCGCATCGTCCAGCCGCTTCGGACAAGCTAAAGTCGACCAGGTCGAGCTGCTCATGATTCGGTCCACCGCCGGGAGACACCCGAGACTTCTCCTGATCGTTCCGCACGGTTTTGCGTAATCTGAAGGCGAATGTATTTGAGTGCGGATCGATTCGATCACCAAGCGATTCGGGCGCAGTAACACGGAAAAGTCTGTCGTCGATGCCCATCGCTGCGATCCATCCCACAAGGTCCAACGTTCCTCCGTACCGTTCCCGAATCATCTCTTCCAGTGTCCATTGTTCCATCTCTACGGACATTCATGATGCTCGGCAGAACACGCCATCGTGAACCGGAGTCGTTACGCGGTCGGACCTGCCGCGTGGTGAATGGATACTTTCAAAATTTCGCGCCGCTCATTCATATGAGCGGCTGGAGAAACAGAACGGTTCAGGTGGGAGCCATCGTCGAGGAATTCGACGACTTCTCCCACACAATCTGGGGACACTCGCAGTGCAACGAAATGTCTTGGGAGAGTTTCAAGTCCTGCGCAGTCGAGTTGGTCGGTGGCGCGAAGAGATTGGCGCTTGAGGACCGAGTCGCTATCGAAGTTGAGGGCCATGCTGGACCGCAGGGTTAGTCACCGAGACCTGAGAGAAGTTTCTCTATCGTACTGAGGCGGTTCTTTTCATCAACCTGAATTTAAGAGGGATTCGATTCGGACTCTCCGTGCGAAGCTGTCTTTCGCTGTTCCTCAGGTGCCTAGCGTTCCTCAATGATTCCCGTGTAGTGGATCCTCCGTTGCGCGCTTGAAGAATGCCCATCGCAGTTCGGGCTGGGTTGACAGTAGACAGTTGACAGTCGGCTCATGAATCCGCACGCAGTGCGAAATTTCTAGGGAGAAAAAAATCATACACTTCTCCTCCGCAGTACGCCTCAAACCGGACTTCGTCTGTGGACTATTGGGGGTAACTCAGTTGAGCCAGGAAGCAACACTTTTCCCCGAGCGTTCTCACCTCGTCATGGACAAACCCAATGACTATTGTTTGCTGAGACACGGTGAACATATTGTCTTGTCAAAAAGCCTCGTCTACCGTGTCGACTTCCCGCCAGCCTATATCGAAGCTCCCCTGAAGGCGGGAGCGGCCCGGCTGGCCGAGCCCAAGCAAGCGCCTCCGAAGAACGAGCCGCCGACAGGTGGGTTGCGCTCCGATGATGGAGGATACTTCCGAAGGGAGAGCAAAAGTTAGATAATAATGTATCGATGCATCTCTTACAGGAGCAGACATCGAGGGTGAGTGGAATCTCGAAATTAGTTCAGGGGAATGAGAGCGTGTTTGGTCGTGCCAAGCAGCTACTCAATTACGGACACCTCAGGCCTTAGGATAGCTTTGTCCTTGAGAAATTCATGCTTCTTTGGGTTCTTACTTTCAAACTTCCACTTCGCGAGACTTCGCGAGCTCCTGCGATAAATTCAGTGGACGTAAAGAGGAATCCGGACATCGTTCCCGATCCGTAATTCAGTCTCTTCTTCATCAGGATCGTGGACGGACAACGAAGACCTGAAAGTGATGATTTTCGAGCCGAATGGCGATTTCCGCTCGCCTAAATGCGCCTGTTTCGATATGGACGGCACAATCATCAAGAACAGGTCGGGGAAGAAGTTCCCGGAGAATTATCGAGATTGGATGATCTTGTACTCCGGGAAGATACCGGAAAAGTTACATGAGCTGCATCGGAACGGGTTAGTAACCTTCTCGTGGACTTCCCACCCGGCCAACGGCACCGCCCACTGAGAGCCCCGGTCGACCATATGCTCATGGGGGGAAACGTGTGAGATTTGGGCGAGAAATACGTTATCATTGCGCAGCATTCCCCATGATCGGCTGCGAGCAATCAGTCCCTCAGTGAATATCTGCTTCTCCTCAGATACCGAATCGTAATCTTCTCCAATCAGAGGGGCTTGGCCACTGGCAAGCAGAGCAAACCTGATCTGAAACTAAAGTTCACTGCCATAATGAAAAAGATCGGTGTACCGATGACGATGTTCCTATCGTATGGACTCGGAGTGCATCGTAAGCCCTCTGTGGGTCTCTGGCATCTACTTGAAGAACAGAACGGTGAGCTTCCTGAATACTATGCGCAGGCATTTCTCCTCTGGTTCATTCTCCTGAGCCGGAACCAGTTTGATTCGACAGGTCCGATCGATAAAAGCAAGAGTTTTTACGTCGGAGATGCTGCGGGACGACCAAAAAATTGGCAACCAGGCGCCGCGATGGACCATTCCAAAGTCGACAGACTCTTCGCACTCAATCTCGACATCAACTTCTACACACCTGAGGAGTATTTCTTGAAGTCTTCAAAGAACAAGTGAGCGAGGATTCTGCAGTCTGCGGCTGATCATGATCTCGTCAAGATTCCCAGATCTGGATACTCTGATTTAGCCCCGATGAGTCTATCTTCTGAGTTGCCATTGGAAATCGACTCTTTCACATTGGGGCAGGGGATCAGGAAGATCTGTCGATTCCAAACTATCCCATTCCAGATTCGAGATGCCGGTCTTCAACCCCAAGGAATTACGGAAAAACAGGACCTTGGGCGTCGTTGTAGAGCCGGAATCTGAGAAGAAAGAAATCGGAAGTCTCGAGGACCTCGTTCGGCAGGATTTGGAAATGCTGGTTCTGGTCGGGTATCCAGCGTCGGGAAAGAGCACCCTGGCTCAAATAATTTCGGAGAAGAAAGGATACATTCAAATCAATCAAGACACCTTGGGATCATTAGACAGATGCGTGAGGAAGGCCGGAGAAGCATTGAGTAACAAAAAATCGGTCATAATCGACAACACCAACTTCCTCGAGGAGCAAAGGAGAAGGTTCTAGATATCGTTCCTCATTTGTACAGAGTCCACGAATCATCTCTCGCATTCATTTCCGTAAGGGAGTTATTCCATTCAATCTTTGTAATTGAGACGATTTTGCAGGTACATCGAGATCGCCAGACGGGCTGGTGCGAACGTCCGATGCCTCTGGCTGGACTGCTCCGTGGACCAGGCCAGGCATAACAATAAATTCCGGCTCTTGACTTCTCCTGATGCGAAGCACAAGGATGTGACAGACGTCGTTCTCTACACTCTGCGGAAAAAGTTTGAGGAACCGAAGTTGGGAGAGGGTTTTCTACAAATTGTCAAAATGCACATGGTGCCGAAGTTCGACACGCCGCAGAGAGAAAAACTGTTCTACATGTATCTTCTGGAGAAGTGAGCAGAAGGAAGCCGTGACCATGTTCTGTCGTTTTTGAGGTCGACGATTACTTGTCGAAGACCAGCTGCACACCTTATTCAGAGTCAAGCCTTATATGGGCATGCCAATGTGATATATGCGAAACTTCATTTTAAACCTTGCTGAATACCGTGCGAAGGATCCTAACCGAGTTCTCATTACACCAGCTCCTCCATGAGAGAATCAGAGCAAACTAACGATTTCAAGGCTCCCTCCTCTATCCGTGACGTCCTCTGCGAGATATGGGGCGGCTCGCACACATGTACCCACGTATAACCTCGGGATGACGAGGGGCCCTTCTTATTCGTCCAAGGTAACAAACATTCTCGAACATGGTCGCAAGATTCCTTTGCCCGAGTCTTCGCTCGGCATCGCGGAGACAAACTTCCCCCGTGGTTCCTTATGAGTACAATCTAATTATCCGCAAATCGCCAACCAAGCAGCATCCCAAACCGCTCTTCGGGCTGCTCGATGATGTCCGCGGTGCTCTTGCCATTGTCGACATGGCCCTCCCACGGAATGGGGGTCTACCCCTTGCGTGCTATCTTTCCTTTTCTTTCATCCGGTTATCAATTGGGAAGCTTCAGCATGACGTACCGATTTTCCTCGCTCGTCCACGTCTTCAACTGGGCGGTCAATGCTTGTCGCAGCTTATCCTCTGAAGTCTCCGGGAGACTTGACTGAATCCGATGAAGACTCCAAGAGAATCCTCCGTTCGCTGGCGAAGATGCAAGGTTAAGAAATTTCCCCGCGCAAACCTCAACGCTCGAAGAGGACGCGAAAGAGGCCTCTCCCTTCGCTATGATCATGCTTCAGGAAATGCAAATCATATGAATGTGTGGGTCTCTTGTGGCACACAGAGCAGGCAAAAGCTCTCACGTCATCGTGCCGAGATAGGTGTTCATTCAGGACGGACTAGCGCCGAATGAGAATTTCGGTCGCCGGATCGATTGCGGCAGATGGAAACATCCGCGCCGGAGCTCATCTCCTGAGCGTGAGACGTATCCCTCGATGGAGATTAAGCTCCTGAACCTTCGGCGCCGGTCCTGGGCGGAATTCTCTTGCGGTGAGCAGCGTGTTGGTGTTCTAACTCTTCGAACAATTCGACCGCAATCCTCTGCCATTATAGGTGCCGACATATCTCCCGAACGTTGGCGGAAGCATGGAATCCCGTCGACTCTCCAAACTTCGAGCAGAAATCCAAGGTCGGATTGCGGTTTCGAACCCACGCACATTAGGAGTATTCCGACCGACAGTCGATGTCGCCGAGCCGCGAGTCTTTAGGTCGCTGGATACTTGGCACATGAAATGTTCCTTGATTTCTGGGGCGATTCCATCTGATTCTCTCTCCAAGCCTCATTCTAGGCGCGAGATCAGTAGAGATTGGACTTCGATTGCCTCGAGTATCGAAGGCTATTCCGACTCCGTGGGAGAGAGGTGCAGATACAGGGCGAGACCGAACAATGAGCATCGGGGAACGAAGGAAATCTGGTTTCCCGCTCGTGTCTTCCAGGCTTAGAATTCAGAAGAGAAGCATGATGGACCATCTCTGCGGAGGTGTCACCGTGCTCTGCGCTGTAACGAATAGCTGATAGTAGCTGATTGGCATCAAAACAAGATTCCGGTGCGAAAGCCGGTTATATCACTCAGTGTACTCACATTACGAAAAATTTCCGCCCGATTCGATGAGTTTCCCGGGCCTCTGCTATAGACCTTGACGATGTGTAGACGAAAGGTTAATCAAACTCTCGGAGGAACCCTTCCAAGTGGAAACATGCGGCTGGAAGGACATGTAGGAGAATCTTCAATGATTTCCCGATTTGCGTGTGTATTGGCTCCCTCATAATGAAGACCGTTCGCGCCCCTGGAGGGAGCGTCGACGTTAAACCTTCCCCGAAGCGACTACATCCATGAAGGACGAGTCGCTCGCGAAAACGATCGATGAAGTGCCGATGCCGCAGTCCTCCGCTTTGCCCGTGAGGGCTGAGACATCCAGAGAGTGATACCCATCCCTGTCATAAGGCCTCGCGGGCTGACCGCGTCCTGCATGTGCGAATGTTTATTCGCAATTAGCATTCGCATTCGAGGGGATACGAGAAATGTCTGACGGATGACCTTCGGGAGAATCGATCTTTTAGAGTATAGTGGCCCTGATAAGGGCCGTTTTTTTCTTGTCAAAGAATGACTTAGGCAGCAGCCTTGTCGGTCTTCTTGGGGAGGAGGACAGCCTGGATGTTGGGCAACACACCACCCTGGGCGATGGTCACACCGGACAGGAGCTTGTTCAATTCTTCGTCGTTACGGATGGCCAATTGAAGATGACGGGGGATGATTCTGGTCTTCTTGTTGTCACGAGCAGCATTTCCTGCCAACTCGAGAACTTCAGCGGCCAAGTACTCAAGCACAGCGGCGAGGTACACGGGGGCTCCAGCACCGACACGCTCGGCATAGTTTCCCTTGCGGAGGAGACGGTGGATACGACCGACGGGGAACTGAAGTCCCGCACGAGACGAACGGGTCTTCGCCTTCGACTTTGCCTTTCCTCCCTTTCCGCGTCCAGACATGTTGATAGTGCGTGAGTTCAAAACTGACGATTGCTCTGGGTTCGGGCTCCTGCGTTTATATATTAGGCCAGGCGGCCATCCTCACCGAGCGGAGCACCCCTCTCTCAAGAGGCGGCAGAAGTTCCGCTCTTTTCGCCCCAGTCCGAACATTGAAATACGAACGCTCTTGTGGTGCTCCTCACTCTCGTTTGAAGTCGCTTCGAACGATGCCGCCTGCAGCCAGTGGAAAGGCCGTGAAGAAGGCCGGTAAGGCCCAAAAGAACGTCCGTGCCACGGACAAGAAGAAGAAGAAGCGCAGGAGGAAGGAATCTTTCTCCATCTACATCTACAAGGTGTTGAAACAAGTCCATCCCGACACCGGTATCTCCTCGAAGGCCATGTCTATCATGAACTCGTTCGTGAACGACATTTTCGAGCGTATTGCCGCCGAAGCTTCTCGTCTGTCCCACTACAACAAGAGGTCGACCATTACTTCTCGGGAAGTCCAGACCGCTGTGAGGCTCCTTCTCCCCGGAGAGTTGGCCAAGCACGCCGTCTCTGAAGGAACCAAGGCTGTCACCAAGTACACCTCTTCCAAGTAAATTGCATCCTCCGATGTAAAAAAACGGCCCTTTTCAGGGCCACCAAAATGAACAAGAGCGACTATCTTTGAGCCATTAGTCTAGGCTCTCCCGGATACAATTGATGGGATGAGTAACGGAAATAGCATCCGAAATCCACTGACGGATAGGTATGTGGAGGAGCGACACTTAAATACCGAAAATATTCTTAATGGAGGGCATGTCCGTCTGTTTCTCGATAGTCCAGGAGCTGCCCATTATCGAGAGACTGCCCGTCCATCGGGGACTGTCCGTCTACTGAAAAATTCAAATAATTCCATATACTCGTGTTCGATATCAAGGAGAGGATTCATTTGGATTGTAAAGAGATTCACCCCAGGTCTGTCTCCGCGTCCCTGTCTGGAGAATCGTCGGGGTATAGAATTTGACGACATACTTCCGTCACGAACCTGATCTATCGGAATCAATGATATTTGATAACGCCATCGATTTTCATGACTACTATGAAGCGTCTGATCGGAATGGGCTGAATATACCCCGCCGAGTCCGAACTCATCCGACGGGGGAGCTTCTCACAGCTGTAACAATCAGACGCGCTCCAAACCTGATTGAGCCCATAGAGGAATGATTCAGGTCCGTGAAAATCCTTCGGTTTGCCTTCAGAGGCGTCGCGCCTTCATCGTCGATACAAATGCGTGTGACAAGCGCTTGCCATCGAAGATATACGGCAGCTTGATATGGAGCTCGCAAGACGGAGAATTCCTCCCCGTCCCATTTTCTCCTCGAATTGTCAACAATTGGTAGCACCTTAGTCGATTTGTCGGATTTTATCAACGATGTCTACGAAAAGATTGTCTTTGCAAGTATTCATGTATTCAAAAAGCATCGTCTTCTCTTGCAGACCTCAGCTATCGTTTTGCGTATGCCATGGAGTCATGATCTCATAGAATTGGGTGGCCCTGAGAAGGGCCGTTTTTTTCTATCTCACGGATGCGAGTGACTTAAGCACGCTCTCCGCGGATACGACGGGCCAGTTGGATGTCCTTGGGCATGATGGTGACACGCTTGGCGTGAATGGCGCACAAGTTGGTGTCTTCGAAGAGACCGACGAGGTAAGCCTCAGATGCCTCCTGAAGAGCCATGACGGCAGAGCTCTGGAAACGGAGATCGGTCTTGAAGTCCTGAGCGATCTCACGAACAAGTCGCTGGAAAGGCAACTTGCGGATCAGGAGCTCAGTCGACTTCTGGTAACGACGGATCTCACGAAGAGCGACGGTACCGGGCCTGTAACGATGGGGTTTCTTGACACCTCCGGTGGCCGGGGCGGACTTGCGGGCAGCCTTGGTGGCGAGCTGCTTACGCGGAGCCTTTCCTCCGGTGGATTTACGAGCGGTCTGCTTAGTACGAGCCATTGCGAACGAATGCGCGCCGAAAGTAGGGTTGCGGAGCTCTGAGACCACCACTGTTATATATGACGAGAGAGAGGAGGACTAGCCCCTCTGCATGGCCGCGCAAGCGCCGCCTCGACCGACGCTCGCTACGCCAGCTCCGCTCAGCTCAATTGGAGAAATTGGAAATTCCAGGCTCGGCAGCGCAACGAGAGGGGAAATACACCCTTGATATACACTAAATTCTTTCATGCTTTCAGTGACGAAAAATTTCAATTCTTATTAGTCCAACGACTCTCGCACGCTCATTCGGAGTCATCCTTTTATGGGCTTTACGAAACCCAATAAATGAGCATTCCCACTCACCGGTGAGGCATGGTCATCCTCACGTCCCATGGTCGTTCCGTGAGAGGAATTGCCGTGCTCTTGCAAATAGCACCGAAGGATGAAAAGCCGTCACAGAGTATTGACGGGCATGATGATGATCACCAACTCGGCGAGAGCGACTGAAACCAAGGGAGTCTGGAACGACTGTTCATCAGGAGGGAAGACTCCGATTCCGAGCAAGGTTCCCACGTTTCGCCTTGTTTTCGGAGGGGAATCACGGCGTAGAATCCCCCCAACGTGCCGCCCTCTCGGGAGTCAGCATGGGAGGTTTCATTCGGAATTATAATGGGAGCGAATGCGCATGTAATCAGCATCGGATCAATTCTCGATTTATCCTGAAAGCCTACCCGCTAATCATGGACTATCGATTTCTCCGGGCCGAGCGCCCCTCGGATATGGCTACCCTCGCCAGATGAAGGGCGGCGCCGGTGCTCCGGGCGAGTATAAAATACCGGGGTGCCAGTCAGATTCTACTTCTCATTCGAGCGAAGAATCATGTCTGGACGCGGCAAGGGAGGAAAAGGTCTTGGAAAGGGTGGCGCCAAGCGTCATCGTAAAGTTTTGCGTGACAACATCCAGGGTATCACCAAGCCCGCCATCCGTCGTTTGGCACGTCGTGGTGGAGTCAAACGTATTTCTGGTTTGATCTACGAAGAGACCCGTGGTGTCCTCAAGGTTTTCCTCGAGAACGTCATCCGTGACGCTGTCACCTACACCGAGCACGCCAAGAGGAAGACCGTCACCGCCATGGACGTCGTCTACGCTCTCAAGAGACAAGGACGTACCCTCTACGGTTTCGGAGGTTAAACACGTCAATCTCTCCTTCGGCAGAAAAAACGGCCCTTTTCAGGGCCACCAAACTTTAAGAGATCATCGCCCGGATCTGCACTGGTTCTTTATTCATTGAACAAGCTCTCTGCTCCCTTTGAACGATTGGCTGAATAAAGAACAACCTTACCGGTACGATTTTTTCCGGGCACTAGTTATACAATTTCGATACGCGATAATAAAAACAGATCGCGACAAGGCACCTCCAGTCATTTAATACAATCACTTGCGTAAACTTGAACGTCAAGTAGTTGCATTCCTGTCTGCTCCCCCATTCCAGTAAAGCAATATTCGCCTATCGTCGCAGAGCGGATCGGGGCATTCGGATACCCTTCCTTACATTATCCTTGTAGACTTTCCTCCGGACGCGCAGCTGAACTAGAGTATGAAATCATCACACATCAATCATCATACTAGCTACAAATCGTATCTTGATTCCTGCTCCGCAATAATGACCCACCAATTTACTACGATTCCTATATGAAACGCCCTCGTCGCGTCGGAATGAGAATCAGCAAGAATCGGGGGTTCAGAATGGGTCTATGAAATTCAGAATAGAACGAACACATACTCATGGGAGAGATTCACAGATTCGCCACGACATGAGCACATGAGCGGGCACGGAGACCTTCGTGGGTCGATAGTGCTCCGAATGGGTGAAATTCCTATCTGACATACGATAGGAATTTAAAAAAATCGAGATGAAGAGCCCTCTCGCAATTTTATGGTCCCGCGAGTCGAATGTCTTCTGTGCCGGCAAAGGAGTGAATGAGGTCGACTCACATTCCAGAGGTACTGGCGAATACGCACCATACTATGCGATTGCGACTCCGGATTGGAGCTTGTTCGAGGATTATGGCGGGTTATTCTTGACTTCTTGTATCCATGAGCGGTATTTCGTACCTACTCGAGAAATTCGGCAGCCAAGTGTTCCGATAGTCAACTAGATATACCCCGCAGGAGTGAGCACTTCTAGAACTCATAGGCCTCATCCGTCGGACCTCTTTCAAGGGGAAACACCCTCTGGTAAGCCTCCTCTTTTCTTGGTTTCCGGATCGATCGTCTCCCGGTTATCTTGAATGATGAGTGATTTGATTCGACCTAGTGTCCATGGACGCCCTCGCTTCGCTGTGTCTCCCTTGATACTATGCATAACACAAGTCGAGTGTACTTCAACTTGACTTAAGGACGGAAAAAAATTGTGAAACTCATCGAGGAAGAAAGGAATGAGTGTTTGCTAAACAGTGAACAACAAAAAGAAGCTTCAAAGCGTGAATCGGATTTTACCCAATTTTCAATGCAGTTCGTCGACCGGCAGGCTCGAAGGTGGAATCGATCTTTTAGAGTATAGTGGCCCTGAAAAGGGCCGTTTGTTTTTGCCGAAGAATGACTTAGGCAGCAGCCTTGTCGGTCTTCTTGGGGAGAAGGACAGCCTGGATGTTGGGCAACACACCACCCTGGGCGATGGTCACACCGGACAGGAGCTTGTTCAATTCTTCGTCGTTACGGATGGCCAACTGGAGATGACGGGGGATGATTCTGGTCTTCTTGTTGTCACGAGCAGCGTTTCCTGCCAACTCGAGAACTTCAGCAGCCAAGTACTCAAGCACAGCGGCGAGGTAGACGGGGGCTCCAGCACCGACACGCTCAGCATAGTTCCCCTTGCGGAGGAGACGGTGGATACGACCGACGGGGAACTGAAGTCCCGCACGAGACGAACGGGTCTTCGCCTTCGACTTCGCCTTTCCTCCCTTTCCGCGTCCAGACATGTTGATAGTGCGTGAGTTCAAAACTGACGATTGCTCAGGGTTCGGCTCCTGCGTTTATATATTAGGCCAGGCGGCCATCCTCACCGAGCGGAGCACCCCTCTCTCAAGAGGCGGCAGAAGTTCCGCTCTTTTCGCCCCAGTCCGAACATTGAAATACGAACGCTCTTGTGGTGCTCCTCACTCTCGTTTGAGGTCGCTTCGAACGATGCCGCCTGCAGCCAGTGGGAAGGCCGTGAAGAAGGCCGGTAAGGCCCAAAGAACGTCCGTGCCACGGACAAGAAGAAGAAGAAGCGCAGGAGGAAGGAGTCTTTCTCCATCTACATCTACAAGGTGTTGAAACAAGTCCACCCCGACACCGGTATCTCCTCGAAGGCCATGTCTATCATGAACTCTTTCGTGAACGACATTTTCGAGCGTATTGCTGCCGAAGCTTCTCGTCTGTCCCACTACAACAAGAGGTCGACCATCACCTCTCGGGAAGTCCAGACCGCTGTGAGGCTCCTTCTGCCCGGAGAGTTGGCTGAGCACGCCGTCTCTGAAGGAACCAAGGCCGTCACCAAGTACACCTCATCCAAGTAAATTGCATCTTCCGATGTAAAAAAACGGCCCTTTTCAGGGCCACCAAAATGAACAAGAGCAAATATCCCCAAGCCTCGAGTCAAAGTT